ATATTATTTTAAAAAACAAAATCAAAACTAGGATGAAATATTAAATATATACAAATGTGGCGAAAGATAATCGATGACTATAGGTTGTAATATCTGAATGATTTGTTTGATATTAATTTGATTTTTTTTACGGTCTAAGTCATATGTTCCAACTTCCTCAATTTGTATGGGCGCTACCCTCTTCGGTATGAGGCGTCTTTATCAATTTTCTCCTTATAGACGCAACAGATAGAAATAAGATTAGTAGCGATCAAAAGCGCTTTTTTTATCGCATTAAGCCTATACCCCCTTTCATTTTTCGCGAACACTCCCTTTAAGGTTCCTCTGTCCATGTCGCTAAACAAGGAAACAAAATTACTCTCTCATCGTAATCAAAGTCGAGTATTTTCCAACTGACACTTATTTTGATTTCTATATTACAGGTTAAGTTAATGGACGTAATTAGAAGTTTTATGTCGCTATATACAAACGTAGTTAAGGTAATCAAAATATAGGTTTGACGTAGTTATTTACAGAAGTAGCTAGGTTAGGTTAATCTCAATTAAAGGTTTTCGTAGTTATTTACAAGCCCATTTAGATTTACAGACAATGTACAACATAATTTATCTAGGTGTGGTCACTGTTCAGGCTTCTAACTATGGGATTTGATACGATATTTATTATAAGTTAACTTATAATTGGTCAAGCAGCAATATTTTGAATTTGATAAATCAAAAAGACCTAATATTTGAACAGTTTCTACTAAGGTTTAAAAAAAAGTGAAAATCATGTTTTTTTGACAAATAATAAAATGATAGTCTCAAAAACGAGAGTGCCAGGGCATAAAAACAAAGGGAGGTGTAAAAGGCCCCCCCCCCGGGCCTGTTTAGTGTTAAGTAGTAACCATTTATCATGTGAAAATATTTATTAAAATAAATATTACCTTTTTCATCGTATAGCTGAAGTAAAACCTGAAATTGATCTTTTAAATGTACTGTTAGCGTAATGTCCAGTGACCCTCCAAGCAAAGATTGCAACGCCAGATTTACAACTATACGCTGAAAAGCATTGTCTGATTAAGTATAATTATAATCATCTTTTTTTTTCTATAAACTGCATTATTTTCATTTGCGGGTTCACTTTAAAGTCACATGCAAATTTCTCGCTCATAAGGAGCAACAGAGCGATTATTAGAATTAAACAGTTTTAAGATTGTGCAAACTACGCTCTCTTCCATATTTTTGATCATATTAAAGTCTCAAGGACATTTCCGTCTTTGCATGTCACTTGAATTTACGCCTAACGAGAGGGGTTTCTTGACATTCATTATAAGATTCCCCTTTAAACCTTCATCTAAACAATCATGTGGAAGATATCGTCTTTTTTCTAGCTTAATGTTTGATTCTGACAATTTAATCCATTTCTTCTTAAACAGAAATGCGCCAGTGATATTTCTGAGAAACCATTTTTAAAAATAATCATATTTTTTAAGAGAAGATGATTTATAATTTATGCATTCATAATCAGACAAAGCTTTTAAGGTACCTTTGTGAATCAGTCACTTAAAAAAGGTATTTTTTATGTACAGCTGGTTACCCGCAAAGGATAAGACTGTATAGACGACCTGAAACTCTTTAGAAAAGACGATTACTAAATAAAATTCCGTACAGTCTTCAATTGTCTCATCCTTTGTGTTTCCCACCACGCGCTATAGTGTCTATAATGCAGGGTTAGTTTCAGGTAGTTTCAGGTAGTTTCAGGTAGTTTTGGATCATGTTTTGATCATGTTTTGATCATGTTTGGGTCATGTTTGGATCATGTTTGGATCATGGTTGGATCATGTTTGGATCATGTTTGGATCATGTTTGGATCATGTTTGGGTCATGTTTGGTCATGTTTGGATCATGTTTGGATCAAGGTTGCATGGATCATCATCATGTTTGGATCATGTTTGGATCATGGTTGGATCATGTTTGGATCATGTTTGGATCATGTTTGGATCATGTTTGGATCATGTTTGGATCATGTTTGGATCATGTTTGGGTCATGTTTGGATCATTTTTTGCATATATCTTCTGTCAAGGTCAACATTTGCCATAGTTTCAGAAAAGAAAATGTTTAGAATAATAAAGTTAGAGAATATTTATTTTTTTATGCCAAACTTTGACCGTGGAAGAAAATAGAGAAAAAAACTAAAGGCAGCAATAGTTTTAGGAAACTGTCAAATATTTATTCATTGTTCTACCAGATAAAAGGAAGAATATTGAGTAGAAAGGAGAGAATTAAAGCAGAAGAAATAAGAAGACATCCAACCCATATTCCTCTCATGCTTCCTTTATCTATAAATATAAAGTTGTAATCTCTGTTTGGGTGTCTGTCTGTTTGTTTGTCCGATCATAACTCAGGAACCCTTCGACCGATTTGCCCCAATTTTTTATCGGAGAACTCGGAGACCCACGGGAGTGTTCTTAACTTGGTTATGAGATTCTAAGTTGTATAGGTCGACATTAAAAGCGAAAATTTTGTTTCCCATTAAAATCGTTCAAGTGCGGGTAAACGGCGAAATATTCTTAAGTCACCTGGGCAGTGCTGGGTTCCCAAGCTAGTGTTAAATATTACTGTATGAGAAATAAGAATACATCCAACCCATACTCCTTGTATAAATCATTCACAATTTCACAAATTGAAACCTGTACCCACAAGGTTGTAATGCAAGGAAAGTTATTTCAGAGGTGTACGCATCTTTTGTACTGCAGTGTACTGTCTCTGGGCGGTAATGTAAACACAAGACGGATGTCGAAGCCTGACATGGGATCCACCTTTCACATAAAATGCTGGTCATAGGATAATATTATGTGAATTATCAAAATTTAATGCTTTTAACCCCTCAGATACTAAACGAACAATGATGCATCTATTATTGTTTACAAATTCCGCCCAGAGAGAACTGGTTTCAATATGTACGCAACTGCAATTAACTTTCCTTTCATAACATCCTTGCCTGTACCTTAAATTCTTAATATCTTCATAATTTTCAGGAGCACAAGCTAGTGTGATAGACGTTATACCAGAATTTAGAAAGCCAAAGTATTTTTAAAGGCTAGTTTTAAATATTGGTTTCTTCTGTCACTGTGTATTTCTAAAAATGACCCGTAAATAAAAAATTATTTAAAAGTATTTTTTGTTTCATTTATTTTTTAGATATATGTAAAGGATTTCGTTTTTTTTAACTTCTGAGCGTAATTGTTCGTATAATGTACAGAGCTTTACAAATTATTCATTGTTTTTTCTCATTTATTTTTACATTACCATATAACGTACATTTTTGTTTAGCCCTAGATATGATATTTTTAAAACTTCTTCTTGAAACTTTAATCGATCTTAAATTTTAAGCTTAAAATCAGTGACAAAATGCTAATAAATTTTCAACTTTTGGACACTGTGAATGCAAGGACTTATCCCTTAGATCATAGCAGTTTATATATACTGAAGGTCGTCTTGATTATTTTCATATTTTATTCAACTACAAAGCACGAGATAATACAAATAAAAAAATCACAATTTACTATGTAGTTTGGATCCGCCTAACCAGAGAAGTTGTTTTAATTGGTTGGCCCACTATAAACGAATGAGAATTGCAGATAAAAACAATGTACATTGTACATTTTAAATATAAGAATGATGATAAATCAGGAAAATGGTAAGGAGAAGGTTAGGGCGAACATAAGTTATTAAAATCATGTTTATGAAATACAGGGTGATGAAGATAGTAAAGACTAAGTTTATCCACATGATACACAGTTTTCGTCTTGATTATAGTAGTTTATATATACTGGAGGTCATATTTATTATAGTAGTATATACACTGGAGGTCATCTTGATTATACCAGTTTATATATACTGGACGTCATCTTGATTATAGCAGTTTATATATACTGGAGGTCGTCTTGATTATAGCAGTTTATATATACCGGAGGTCGTCTTGATCATAGCGGTTTATATATACTGGAGGTCGTCTTGATCATAGCAGTTTTTATATACTGGAGGTCATCTTGATTATAGCAGTTTATATATACTGGAGGTCATCTTGATTATAGCAGTTTATATATACTGGAGGTCATCTTGATTATAGAAGTTTATATATACTGGAGGTCGTCTTGATTATAGCAGTTTTTATACTGGAGGTCATCTTGATTATAGCAGTTTATATATACTGGAGGTCGTCTTGATTATAGCAGTTTATATATACTGGAGGTCGTCTTGATTATAGTAGTTTATATATACTGGAGGTCATATTTATTATAGTATTATATACAAGGTCATCTTGATTTTAGCAGTTTATATATACTGGAGGTATATATTGAGTTCGTCTTGATTATAGTAGTTTATATATACTGGAGGTCATATTTATTATAGTATTATATACACTGGAGGTCATCTTGATTATACCAGTTTATATATACTGGAGGTCATCTTGATTATAGCAGTTTATATATACTAGAGGTCGTCTTGATTATAGTAGTTTATATATACTGGAGGTCATACTTATTATAGTATTATATACACTGGAGGTCATCTTGATTATACCAGTTTATATATACTGGAGGTAATCTTGATTCTACCAGTTTATATATACTAGAGGTCGTCTTGATTATAGCAGTTTATATATACTGGAGGTCGTCTTGATTATATCAGTTTATATATACTGGAGTGCCAGCTTTCGATTTAGGTAGAATAATCCACACAAAAGTTTCAATCTACTGCACAAAGTAACTTTATATAATGTAATATGTACAATGTAATTAATGTAATGTACAATGTAATGTACAATGTAATTAATGTAATGTACAATGTTTACCCTATAAGACGAGACTGAGTGGTGTATACTGTATAACGCACACAATATTGAATATTATATATATATCTTATAAAAGATATGGTATCTATGTTTAAAAATACTCTGCAAACAAGGCAAAACCTAGAAATAGTAGTTATATAATATATATATATATGTATACCGGTAATCTCTGTTAAGATCGATCCGTCTCAAATTTTAATCCGAAACCCTTTAATAAAGAAAACTCGAGAAAACCGGGGTTCCCGTCCGAGCTAATACTAAATAAAGTGAGGATGAAACCATTGAGCACTTTTCTTAAATACAAAATTTAATTCGTTTATTGAGAACTTATATTGCAACTTTTTATTTAAATGAGTTTTTAAAAAAGATCACATGATGGTTCAGACTTTAAGTCGTAATTCAGTGTTAAATGTATATGTTGAGAACCAACAAGCCTCCATCTCTGAATCTTTTAAGTTTAGTAAGATTCAATCCATGGTTTGTTAAAAAGCAAAAAAGTTACTAGACTATACGATTATAACCACACCCTATCTGTTCGTTATTTAGTCCAACCCCAATTTAGAAATACAGGATTACTAACAAATAGGGATGGGCAGTTTGGACTTTTTTGAAAAACGTTCGTTTTGTTCTGTAAAATTTCCCATTCAAAAACGAAACGATCGTTTTTGAAAGGAATAAAACCATAGATAAAGATAGATTGCGCATAAGACGAAATGTATCAACTTACCAGATATAAATGTGCAGAGATGTCAGGGGCGGATACAGGGGGCGGGGGGGACATTCGCCCCCCCTGAATTTGGAATTTTTTCCCTATTTTCCGAATAGCTTCTCAATAGCATGCTTAAGGGAAAGAAACCCTAGTGCAAAACAGGAAAAATATCTGTCTTTATAAACTATAATGTGTGAAAAGTTAAAAATCTAGTTTTTTAGTCTTTAGTCATTAATTTTAAACCTTTTTGAGTCTATTAAGTCAAAAAAAATTTTCCCTGCTGCGCGATTTTTTGGTTCCTAAAAAATCTTGCCCCCCTCCCCCTCACTTAAATCCTGTATCCGCCCCTGAGAGACGTTTAAAATATTGGTTGTTGAACATTGACTGTTCTTATGTCCTTGAATTCATGCGATGTACATGAGTTCTGTAGAGAGAAATTTAAATATAATTTAATTAAATCCTTCTTCAATTCTTGTCACTATGAAATATTGCTCCTTAAAATAATGTTCTTCAAATTCCTTGAGTTAATTTACACTTTATCCGGGAGGAATTCAATTAAATGCAGTATATTCAATAAACTAACCCCGTCATTTATTTGTAATTTTTTCCAATTCAAATAATCAAAATTAAAGGGCTATAAGGTGCCTGCTCTCTCTTCTTGCGATCCTAATTATTCCAGGGGGTGTGCGGGCGCACGTCAACCCAATTTTTCAGGGAAGGAGGACGTCTTTTTTGGAGGGGGGGGGAAGCAGTCATTCCCCCCCCCCGAGTAAACGCCTTAACAGGGTTGGGGGAAATCCCCCTGAACAAAATAGCATGAAAGCATAGGAAAAGGGAGTGAACTGGAATTTAACCTTTTTTTGGTTGAAGATGGCACTTTTCTTTGCAAATTTGTAATGTTTTCGTCATAAGAGAAAATATACGAAGGGGTGGGGGGTGGAGTGGGAGAACGTAGCAAATGATATTTTTGGTAAATATTTTTCTGCGGGGTCAAATCTAGCAAAGTATTTGAAAAACAATTAAATGCTTTGGATAAACAACTATAAATTTAATTTTTTTCAGATTTTGGGGAATCTCTTCAAAGCCAAAACCTTTTTAAGTTTATAAATGAAAGGCGTCTTCTTAACTTATAATGTGAATACAANATACATTTAACCAATAAGTTCTACATTACAAATCCCTACGATTAAACAGAAATAATTGAGAAATAATATTTCTTAACAATTTGATTCTCTCTACTCTAACAAAACAAAAAGAGAAAACGAAATTCTTGTTTATTTAAAAATTAATTTCTTTTTACATAAAAACGAATTTTTTGAATTAAACTCTTAAAATCGTAATAGTACAGGCGGCATATTGTAATTATTGGAAATAAATTATTCAGTGAACAGGAACTAGAATATCCGGGATAAGGAACCAGAAAATCTGGGAACTTGACGATGGTTATATTTAGAAAGATAACACACTAAGATCCCGAGTTCTTTCAGGTTCCACGAGAAGTAATTATGCACAATTTAAGACTGAGTCTGTGAACTCAATTCTCTTAGAACCTTTCTTGTCTCCGGAAATCAGTTTGTTGATCAGTACAAATTTATAATCATAAAATCAACATATTAATAATCATAATAAAAATGGAATTACAATGCCGACCTGATACGGTACATAATATCACATGAATTTTATTAAACGGAAGAAAACCGTAGTTACAGGACCTGTGTGCAGTACAAAACAGTACAACAACCAACATTACACTAATATACTTCTGGTACATAAAAAATATGCACCAACACATGATCCACTAAAATACGTTAAGGTGTGTATTTCCAAATGAACCGTGTACAATACACAATGTGTTGTACAATATAATAGTTCAATTTTCACAACGCTAATTATAAATTGTATTGAACGTGTACTGTACTGAACAAATTGTACTCTGTAATGATGTACTGTAGAGTACAAATAAATCAATGGATACGGACTAAAAATGTACTCCGTAAACTCAGACTGAATTTTAGAAATCTCTTCCCAATTTATTTTTAGAACAAGTTCAATTTAAAAAGCAGAAAATAAAAAATACAACTGATTGTTGAATGACGTCTTTGCAACATTAAAACTGGTATTTGTATATTTTTCAACAAAAAAGGTTTATATTGGCATTTTTACTCAAAAAAGGGAAGGCTGTAACAACAAAATGTGTCAGCAATAAAAGAACAAATTTGGTCAAACCCTTCTTTTCAACTAGATTTTTGTTATAAATGACAAATGAAAAATGTAAAAAATAATTCTTAAGCATTTCTAAAGAAAAAAGGCACCCCTGGAAACCATAAAAATGAGAACTTATAAAAGAAAGAAAAATTAAGGACGTTAGTTCAGCAAACACCATTCTTAAAACTTAAAGCATCGAAAGCTCGATTCGAACTTTAAAAAAAGCGTTTAATGATGCTACTTCTCTGAGAACAAACTAGAAAACTAGAAGTATCAATTTTATGTACACTGAAGAACAATAAATTGAGTTCAAAAACGGAGAAAGTTTGCCAGGACAATTGACGAAAAAAAACCCTCCCCTTCAATTTACCGTTAAAATTAAATATTTAGCGGCAGCATTTTAATTTGAACTTGATTACTTCAAACCAAACATTAATTAAATCAGAATTTTAACTGGGGTTTTCAGAATGTATATTAGACATTAAACATCTCATTTTTATCAGAATTCTTATCTTCGGAAATATATTGGAACAATAAAAGATTAATTTCGAAGTCGGAAAATTGATCTTGAAGAGCAGGATCAGTTAAGTAATTGATCTTCAACGCAACTGAAGCAGGGAATGATCAATTAACTCAGAATCAGTTTTCTAATTAATCTACTACTACAACTAAATAAGAGATTGATCAATTAATTTATCATGAAGAGCATAATGAAATTAATATTTGATCTACTACTGCAACTGAAGCAAGAACTGATCAAATAGTTGATCTACTTGGGTTAGAAGATAAGCTCTGGGTTGATCTGAGTCTACATGATGATAAATTTATTATCCCGGTTGATCAATTGCAATTTGTGTATCAACTGTATCATGTATATCAACTGCTTAGATCGAGGATCTACTGTATGTAGATCAAGTGGTTGATGTAGATCAACTGTATTTAGATCAAGTGGTTGATGTAGATCTACCGGATGTAGATCAAGTGGTTGTTGCAGATTTACTGCATGTAGATCAAGTAGTTGATGAAGATTTCCTGTATGTAGATAAAATGGTTGATGTAGATCTCCTGGATGTAGATCAAGTAGTTGATGTAGATCTACTGGATGTAGATCAAGTGGTTGATGAAGATCTTTTACTCCCCCTACTCCCCCTGGTAGATGTTGATCTTCTTGTCCTGCGCGACCTTGATCCAATTCTTCTGAAGGAAACCCACAATCTCCGGGTAGTTAGCAGTTCCAGCAGCAGGTTTAACCACGTGACTAGTAACAACACTGTCATCAGCTAAACCTAGACCGCTGTCCTCTGCTACGCTGTTATCTGTTCTTGACAACTGCCAGGCTGTTGGGGATCCCCTGAAAGTAGAATAAATAAAATAATTTTCATTTAAGAAGAGACAAGACTTGTTGAATGGCATTTACTGAACAAATTTGCCTTATTTTGGACAAACTTCGTGATTTTACATGAAATTGAAAACTGTTTAAATATAAACAAAAAATAATATCCAGTTATAAAATATGATTGAACGTGAATTTATTTGATGTTTTTTTTTAATCTAAAACCCTTCTATACTTGTTCAATGTGTATACCTATAAGCCGGCTCCGGGGTTGAATGTCTGCTCCAGTGTTCCAAAGAACTGTTAACCTGCTCCATTATACTAGCTCCCTTAATAATAAATATTATACTACTGCTAACCTCCATTATCATAGCTCCCTAAACAGTATATATTATACCACTGTTAACCTCAATTATACTAGCTCCCTGAACGGTATATATTATACTACTGTTAACCTCCATTATACTAGCTCCCTAAAAATGTATATTATACTACTGTTAACCTTAATTATACTAGCTCCCTGAACAGTATATATTATACTACTGTTAACCTTAATTATACTAGCTCCCTAAAAATGTATATTATACTACTGTTAACCTTAATTATACTAGCTCCCTGAACAGTTTATATTATACTACTGTTAACCTCCATTATACTACAGTGAAACCCTTAATAACGAATACATCGAAAGAATTCATCAAATGTTGTATGCTTCACTTTCTGATAATGGAATGTTGCAGATATTTAGTTTTTTAATTATATGATTATATGGAACTCTTTAAAACTGTTCCCGCATATTTATGGCTATTTATTTATTTTTGCAAATATTGAAATTTACGAATTATAGTAAAAAACTTATTGAAAAATTGTCAAGACAACATTTGATAAATTTTTCCGATGTATTCGTTATTGAGGGTTTCACTGTAGCTCCCTAAAAATGTATATTATACTACTGTTAACCTCAATTATACTAGCTCCCTAAACACTTCATACAAGGATTAAAAAAATTCCCTAGATTTGACCATTTTAAAGAGAAAAAATGCATGGATGAGGTGGTTCGGATGAAGAAATGATGTGGTTGGCCTTATCACCTCCTTGCTTTCCCAAAATATCATTTATTTTACCCAAATTCAGCGGAAAAAACAAACAATTTAACCCACTACTACATTACAAAGCAGCGGAAGAAAAATTACTCTGAAATGAAAAAAATTAATTGAAAAATAAAGTTTTGCGTTTTTGAGGTAAAAAAGAAGGACAATGACCTCCGATCCCAAAATTTTCTTCCGTGACTATATAGCTAACGTAAATTGGAAGCTTCACGCAATATTTAAGCCTCTAATCTTAGGACCAAACGAAACGCAGCCTTAAGCAGAAAATTTCGAACCAGAGAACAAATGACAAAACTAAAATAATAACTAGTAGATAGATATTAATCCAAAATGTGGGGAAATATTTAAGAATGTCCAACCTTCTTTTTATTGTTGCGAGGATATGAACCGGGCTGCAGGAGAACAGGAGAGGACGAGGATCTGTCCTCACCGCCAATATTGTCCTCAACCTGCCAGGACAAAGGACTGGCGGAGCTTATACCGGACTCTGGGGATACGGCGGCTGTGCCCGCCTCTTGGTCTTCCACCATATCTGTGTTAACCATCTCAGGGTTTATCTAAAAATATTTTTTTATTTTAAGCTTAGAAAAAAATAATATTCTTAGTCCATGCAATTTCTAGAGACATAAATAAAAAAGTTATGTTTCTCTTTCCATTCATACTTAATATCATTGAAATGGTTAGGTTCTACGTACTTCCGTAGAAGGCCTTTTTTGAATGGTGTTGAGGGCAGTGCTTAGGATCCGGATCCGTTGGATCCGCAAGATTTTGGCTTCCTGGATCCGGATCCACAAAAATATGCGGATCCACGGATCCGGATCCAAGGGTAAAAATCAACCAAAAACTGAAAAAAAAACTTTTTTACTGCTAAAACCCAAATCTGAACTTTAGAAAAAAAGAGTGATAATAAAATTTCCTTAATTCTGAATGGTTCACCAAGTTTAAGGATAAAAATAAGCGAAAAAAAATAAAACAAAAATTTGAAAATTATTTTTTGTTAAAAAATTCAGTAAATCTTAAAGAAATGACCTGGATCCGAATCCGCATCAAAATTGAATGAATCCTTAGCACTGGTTGAGGGAGACAATGAATTTAAGGGGAANCCCGAGATATCTATAAATTTACACAATCCCCCCACCGGGAAGATATCTATAAATATACACAGTGGGGCCCATAGAACTCTGGGATAGAAACTGAATGATTTTTAAGCGTCTGATAAAAATATTCGCTATTAACAAATAAATGTCGTCTTCTTGTTCAACAAGTTTACTCCTGTATTACACAGTACACCCCTAAACCAAGTAAAATGATTTCATATTGACCTGAGCAGTTAGGTGTGCTGGGAAAGGGGGAGGAATCCCACTGTTCTGAATTCCAACACCATTAATCAAACCAAAGGGCGGAGAAGCACTGATAGAAACCAACCTTGCCTCAGTGGCAACATATCCGCCCTCCAGGGCTCCGTAGCATAATATCGCTCCGTCATAGGATTCAATTGGAGCGGGGGCGTATGAGGTAGAAGCGGTTGCTACGGCGGTATCAGAGGCATTTACTGGCTCCGGGACCGGTGTGGTGTAACCACTTTGGAGTGGAGTGGACGGAATAGTACTTTCTCCAGCCATGGACAGAGAAACCAGCTCCTCGTTCACATCAAACCCAAAACTTATCTGGACATAACATTTAAATATAATAGTTATTAAAAAATTTGTTAAAAGCAGAAAATGAAACATGAAAAATTATTATTCAATTATGTAAAGAATACCTCTGTTGATTCTTCTAGGAACTCAGCACCTAAAACTACAGGATTAGTTCGAGTATCAAACTCGAAATTATCCTGATCCGTGGAATTTGACACAACTTCTCCATCTACAAAGCTTCCAGAAGCTTTCTCGACTTTGCTTTCAGGAGCTTGGTCGACATTAGTTATCACTTTACTAGCTCCGTCTCCAATATTGTTTATAGCCGGCTCCACAATCTCAATTAAACCACATTTGACCTGTTCACATTTGTCCGTGAAGCCCTTTTCTGATACTTTCACTTCAGCACTAACCGGGGCGGATTTATTTACTCCTTTCATGTTTATATCACAATTATTATAGGTTTCGCCAGATTGTCCAGAAATTTTCTCCGGAATAAGCTTAGCTTGCTCCGAAAAGATCGGAGCTTGCTCTGAGAGCACCGGAGCTTGCTCTGAGAGCACCGGAGCCTGCTCTGAGAGAAGAGGAAATGGATTTATCACAGCCTTGGTATCACGAGGAATAGTCGGAGTTTTAACCCAAGCGGAGGGAAGAATTAGCTCCGGTAGAGAGGAGGGCAGCAGAGCTGGGAAATCCTGAAAACAAAACCATCTTTACTTTTCAACATTTTTCAAATATAAAATCAATTTTCTAATTTTTAAATCTGATAAAGAACGGACAAAATCTGTATTTTAATTTGATTATTTTTTACTATCCCCCATCAATATCTTCAAATTTAGAGGGGATTTAAAAGTTCAGTTAATGTCTTAAATTAAAATGGTCAGTTTAGCTATGCAGCTTACTTATCAATTTTTCTTCAAATATTAGAACAGTTTTCAACTCTAAGAAATGGTAAAAATAAGAGATAAACGTTTAACAAAATAAACTTCTCACTGAACTAATGCATTATCAATATTTTACTTGGATAAAAAAAAGATATTTCCCTTGTACTCCCAGAGCAGTCCTGGGAATAAACAACTTGAAAAAAACATTACCTTGATTAAAATAAATTTTTAAATTGGAATAGGACAATCATTGCATTACGCATGTTCGAGGCTAACCCAATTCTAGAACTATTTTCTCAAAACGACGACCAAAAAAAACCTTTATAGGGACTGTAAGCGTAATTTCAATGCCCAATTAACAACTGGTAACCTTGAAAGCTTAATCTATTGAAAAATGTGGAAAGATACTGTGGTTTCCTGTACTGTGGTTTCCTGTCACGAAAAGTGGTTATTTTTGAGATTTTCTCCATTGTTTTTTAAAAGCAAAAAATGCGCAAGTCACTATCGCAAAGAACATGCAAATGAAAATAAGAACAGTTAAAAGAAAAAACATTTCTATCTAATGCATACTGATTAGTCATAGCTTTAAAAGGGTAACGTAGTAAATCGGGCATCGTCATCTTTGCATGGAAGAGTCCCTTGAAGTTCCGCTATACAGTCCATATAAACAATATATCCTACCTGAGCAATATCCAGGGTGGGGAACTCCTTCCTAGTATCAGGGAGAGTAGGGGGAGGGGTTGGCAGTTTAGCTTTGGATTGAATACCAGGTTGGGCCCGGGAATGATGCTCTGAGGACCAGGGTTGGTGTTCCTGGGCCCACGAGGGGTTTTTGTTATCATAATCTGTTACAACTGGCACCTCACGAGACCTAAAAACATTTTTGTGAATTTCCTTAGATTACATTTTCCCTGGTGATCTTTTCCCTTCCCCCGTTCAGTCTACACTCAACGGTTATAATTTTAGCGTTCTAGTAGATGTCTTGTCGAATGTCCTACTGTCCTGTGTCCAGTATTGTCTAAGTACCAGAAGTAAGAGGTTTTATTCAATGATTAAGAAAAAATTAATGAATTTTTCGGTAAGGAGAAGTATAAAAAAGGGTGAATAAAATCTCCAAATTTTCAATGAAATTGTGTTTTCTTTTGCAAGTGTACTGTCTTCATCACCTGAGAGAGTAGTTAGATGTTCTCTTAGTCTCTCTGTTCCCTCCTCCTCCATTCTTCTGCATGAACTCATCCTTACTCTCCTCCTCCTCTTTACCTCTCCTCCCTCTATTCTTCTTCCCTACAACGAATAATTAGTAAAACGTAACAATTTAAACAATATTGATCAACACGGCGATGGTTGGCAGCTCCCCTATACGTCCTTCTCAGTTTAGACATTTAACGATTTTTCAAAAATTTAGCATTAGAATGTTGGATCAAAATGCTTAGTTAAAGCACTGAAAAATATCTTGATATTCTACCCAAAATACTTATTATTTTTTCAAGGTTTTAAAAAACTTGCTAAGATTAACTTCTCACCTTTAACTTGTACAAAACTACTTTCTGTTGACTGTTCACTGTTATTTCTACTTCTAGGTCCAAGTCCGTCTAAAATATATTCATTGTGAATATATATTTTTAAATAATAAAAATAAAAACTGTCGTCAAATATGAAGCCGCGTAAAATTATTAGTTTCCCAAGAAAAATGCTCAAAATACCGCGAGAATAATGACGAGTTTTATAAGTGGCCTAAACAAATTTGTTGAATAAGATTTTTGTAAAAAGTTAAATTATTTTCTGTGTCTCGGTTATTGAGCAAAAATCAACAAAATAAGGGCGACTTGACGGAGGAATGTCAAAATTGTCAACGAGTCTCGAATCGTTGGTTGTCATTCTGCCTCAGTCCCCTAACCACTGTCCCCAGAGAGAGTGAGTTTGGTAGAGAAAGAAAAGGGGTTTTACGTCGTCAATAATTTGAAAAAAGTACATTTATATAAATTCATTTGATAATTAGAAACAGTCGGATCCACAATATTTTATCTTTATTGATTCAGATCCGCCAAACATACGAGGATTCAAGGTTATAATGCAAGAAAAGTTAATTGCTGTTGCGTATTCTCTGCGTACTTAATGAAACTAGTTCTCTTTGAGCGGTGTTTGTAAACAAGAATAGATGCATCAGTGCTCCTCTAGTATCCGAGTAGGATGAAGGTATTTAATTTTAAACATTTTGATAATTCACATAATAGTTTCCTACGACCAGAATATTTTAATGAATTTTTTATGTGAAAGATGGATCCCATGTCAGGATGGGTCATCCGTCTTGTGTTTACTTTACCGCCCAGAGACAGTACACAGCAGTACTAAAATGCAAGAGACAGTACACAGCAGTACTAAAAATGCAAGAGACAGTACACAGCAGTACTAAAAATGCAAGAGACAGCACACAGCAGTACTAAAAATGCAAGAGACAGTACACAGCAGTACTAAAAATGCAAGAGACAGTACACAGCAGTACTAAAAATGCATACACCTCTGAAATAACTATCGTTACATTATAATGGCAGACGCAGAACTCCAACCTTCGAGTGTGCAGGATGGGGAAGACTTCACTGCCGCGCTTAATTAAAAGCATGATTAAGGGGGGATGACATTTGTAGATCGAGATTGAATACTAGCCGCAGCGCTCGGCGCAGAAAGTGTCATAACTTAACCTAACCCGTGGTCACAGCGCTCGGCCTCCTAGCCTGTCCTAGCCGCAGCACTCGGCCCAGATAGTGTCTTAACCTAACCCTAAATAAAAGAAAGTGTCATAACTTAACCTAACCCGTGGCCGCAGCGCTCGGCCCCCTAGCGTGTCCTAGCAGCAGCGCTCGGCCCAGAAAGTGTCCCAACCTTACCTAACCCTAAAAAAAAACTAATTCAATTAAAAATTATTGAAAAAGTTGTCATGTACATAAGTAAAATCTGCAGTGAAGTCTTCCCCACCTCGCACACTCGAAGGTTTGAGTTCAGTGTCTGCCCATTATAATTCTTTCTGAGGATTCAAGTAGCCAAATATCTACAATTATGCGTGAAAAAAAACCGTGGTCCTCACAACACTAGGACAAAACCATTATCTCAGGGGGGTCTATAAAAAATTCGCCCCCCCCCCCTAAAAATTGAACAAAAAGCAATTAATTCCTTTTCCTTCTTTGTTAAAAAAAATAATTCACAAGCTCCAGTCTCCAACTCCAGTTCTACCAATTTCTGTCTATAAACTCTAATACTCCTACTTTCTATCTGTAAAATCTAGTTCTCTCCTACTTTCTCTCTGTAAAGTTTAGTTCTCTCCTACTTGCTGTCTGTAAAACCTAGGTCTGCCACTTTCTATCTGTAAACTCCAGTTCTCCTACTTTCTATCTGTGAACTCCAGTTCTACCCATTTCTGTCTATAAACTCTAGTACTCCTACTTTCTATCTGTAAAATCTAGTTCTCTCCTACTTTCTATCTGTAAAACCTAGGTCTGCCACTTTCTATCTGTGAACTCCAGTTCTCTAACTTTCTATCTATAAACTCTAGGTCTGCCAATTTCTATCTGTAAACTCCAGTTCTCCTAATTTCTATCTGTAAATCTAGTTCTCTCCTACTTTCTTTCTGTAAAATCTAGTTCTCTCCTACTTTCTGTCGGCTAACTTTAGGTCTGCCACTTTCTATCTGCAAACTCCAGTTCTCCTACTTTCTATCTGTAAAATCTAGTTCTCTCCTACTATGTCTGTAAACTATAAATCTGCCACTTTCTATCTGTGAACTCAAGTTCTCCTACTTTCTATCTGTAAACTCCATTTTTCCTTCATTCTTTGTGTAAACTTAGGTTCTCCTATTTTCTTATTGTAAACTTTATTTCTCCTACTTTCTATCTGTGAACTCCAGTTCTTCTACTTTCTATCTGTAAACTTTAATTCTCCTACTTTCTATCTGTAAACTCCAGTTCTTCTACTTTCAATCTGTTAGCTTTAATTCTCCTACTTTCTATTTGTGAACTCCAGTTCTTCTTCTTTCTATCTGTTAACTCCAGTTCTCACACTTTCTATCTGTGATTTTACAGGCATATTGGTATAAATAGTAAGATGAGAAAACAATTTTAACGGATATTTTAGTTTATTTATTAAATTCTATTATCGTTGTGTCATTCATCCCTTGATGTTTTTTTCATATCATAAATTTCCTTAGAGAGGGGGGACCTCCATGAGCTCAAGGTGGGGCCTGTGTCCCCCCCCCCTGTAGTCCGCCCCTGCCCCTAACCAAATTGATCCAACAAGTCAATAAAAATCATTTGAAACTTAAATAAATATGAATTGACCTGCAGGAAGAGTAAAAGGTTTGCTTGTCTCTTGAATATTGACTAGAACAGGATTCTTTAAACTATCTTTAATCTTCTCATTTTCAGAACCAATCTTCTTCTTTAAGGCTTTCTTTCCCTCAGTTTCTTTGACAATCTTTTTCTTCTCGTCTTCCTCCTCTTCATCCTTCTCATCTTCCGATTCATCTTCCACGCATTTTTCAACCGGTTTCCGTTTCCGTTCCTTCTTCTCTTTAAAATCCTTGGTTTTGCGTATTTTCTTTAATTTATCTTCTCCCGCATTTTCTCCAAGACCCTACAAATGATAAAATTACAAATTAATTCAATTATGAGTCATAAATAGAGTCCAAGAGCCAAGTAGTAGATATCAAATTCACGTAGAGCTTTTTAAGAAACGTTCCCTTTGGTTCTTATCTGCTTACAATTCTTATTTGCTATTTCCCCTTTTCTACATTTATTGCCAGGAGTATATTTTTTCCAGTACGATCCATATATGTTTTTATTCAATGATACGTATATTGACCTGTAGTATATCCGCTAGTTCCTTTTCGCCTTCATAACCTTCCACCTCCTCGGCTCTCTTCACCTCTTTCACATTTCGTTCTCGGGCCTTCTTAGCTCTAGAATATTGAGTAGAAAATTGAGACGAAAAACTGAAACCCTCAATATGGAGGTTGTGGGGAATATTACTTTTGATAGATTACGATTATCTTGTGATGAAAAAATGCATTAATGGAAATCCTTAAATGAGATAAAATAATCTTGATGTATGCTTTAACGATTACATCAAGATTATTTTATCTCGTTTAACAACTCCACTACTAAATTTTTTCCTCATAAGATTAATATTTAATCATATTTGTCAGGTTTCATGAGCAAATACCGAAAACACTAATTACTTTTTAATGTGTGAAATACGACTTTATCAAGTTGGAACAATTGACATGATGAAGAGTTGCAAATAAGTATTAATATTTCACTTAGGCTCTTGTTCTGACTATTACTTTTTCTATTTTTTTTAGTGTTACAATGGAAAAATGTTAAGAACTCTTTTTTAAGTAAAAATTGGTTCTTTATTTGTAAATAATGGATGTGGTGTGAATGTTTCCCTAGTTAAGTTTGTTTGTTTACCAATATATTATGCATTTGCTTGTTATCAAGCGAGAACCAGTTCAAGAAATGAAATGATGAAGATTCATGAAGATTCATTTCATTGCTATGGAGTGCTAAGACCCACAAAAAGTTTGTGACACTAATATCTCAATGACTAGTTTCCAAAAACTAAGATTCAATGTTTTGGATTGAGGCATCACTACAACTCGAGCTATGCGAGATATGGTGATTGCTGAAGTACTTCAAACCCAGTTTTAGCTGTAGGGTNCGTAAAGTTGAATGCCACTTTCTCAGCTAAATGATGATTGAATAATAGACAAATAGGGAAAATCCAGGATTTTAAGATTTTAACCCTGTGTTTAAATTTTAACTCGTCGATTTCGGCGAGTTAAATATTTAACCACAGGGTTAAATATTTAACCTCACGGTTAAAGTTCAGGTTTAAATTAAGTCAGAAGTGGCATTTAACCATGAACTTAAAATTTAAGTCAAAACTTTTCGTTCTTTAGTTTTAGACTCTGAGCAGTGTAATAATGAGAATTCTTTCAGGATAGGTTTACTACTATGGAACCGAACAGATATGATATTACATAAAATATACATCCTCGATTCTAACGATCAATTAAATTTAAACAGAAGCGAAGAAGTGCAATTTGGTAGAGTTAAATTAGGTTACATAAATATCATTTCAAGTGGATTTTAAAAAACAATTTTCCGCATTTTTATTTTAATTCTATTGACGTGACAATAGAAAATAAAAGTATTCAAATTAATAATTAGTTACAATTGCTAGATTTCTGGAAATACACTTTTAAAAAGTAAAACAAGAATGTCCGGTATAAACTATAGTAATCCAAGTTATAATATTCTTGTTTGAAGTATCATGTTTATTCCCACTCCCCCCTCCCAGTCAGGGGTATTAATATTCAGAACCCCCACCCCCTAATTAAGCTATTTTCCCAATGCTAAAATACTACAAAAGAATGATGAAAATGAAATTTAAAGCCCAAAAAAAAAACGGGTTTAAGAGAAAAACTTTGTTCGAATTCATCTGATTAAGGTGTGATAAAAATTTTATCAAATTTAAAATTTGCATGTATAGTAAATTCAATGTTTATGTGTTCGATAATTAAAATTCTAAAACTTGTTTCGTAGTTTTAAATCTATTAACAGAAACAAATAAAAATGCAACTCTGTAGACTAAACACAAGAACTGCTCTACACATTATATTTAAGATTTACAAACAAGGGGGGAGGGGGAAGATAATAAATAAGGTAGAACATATTTAAGGGTTTCTTTTCTGAATTGAGGATAAAAATATATTGGGGGGGGGAATATAAGGGAGGGGGGGGAGAATATTTAAGAATTGTCGAGTGCGAAGTAGAAGAGACGAGGAAAAAGTAAAACCTTTATACAAGATAAGGAGAATTTTCTTAAACAACGCGAATATTTTATTGCAAGTGTAAAGTTCAAACATTGATTGTTTGTTGAGTTTAAAAACCGCGGTTTAATATATTCATGTCACAGATAAGATTAAAATCATATTTTGTAAATTGACAGTTATATTATATACATAAGTCAACACTCAACATTTAATATTTATTGGAACTAATAGGTTCGAATTTTTCCGGTCAAATCTTAAGCTTTGCTGTTTATTTCATCTGAATTTAAGAATATATATTTAAGTTGTATTGTTTATGCTTAATGATGGCTTGTTTTAAAGGGACAGGCCGGCTATGCAAGGTAGTTGAACTGAGTATGCTATGAGTAGGATTCATTTGAGACAAATAAAACTTTTAAAGATCTGTAAATCTTGAGTTTAAGCGCAAAGTCGACGTTCGAAATCGTACTTTTGAGTGGATACGTTTTCAGAATCTGGTTTTTTAAAATTACTATATAACGACGACGAAAAATAAAGTTAAAATTATACAGTAATCTAATTAGATGGTTAAGCACATATTTCTCAATAGAAATTTGTAAATAACTCAATGCTAGAATCAAATATTTAGTTTTCATTATTATTTTGAATTTCTTCGCAGATTTTTTCAAATTCTTCAAATGTCGTCTTTTAAATAATTATTCCAGAAAATCTTGGTGAATAATGAGAAACCAGAATAATGATAAAATAAAAACTAATAATTGAACAAGATTACTTATTTTCGATTTGTCGTCGTTATTTAATAATTAAAAACAAAATTCTGTTAAACGTTTCCACCCAAAAGTACGATTTTTCACGTCGACTTTGCGCTCAAACTCAGGATTAACACATCTTTAGAAGTTTTATGTGTCTTAAATAAATCCTAAAGAATTTGCCGACACACTGCATACTCAGTTCAACTATCTTACATAGCAGGTCTGTTCCTTTAAATGTACATACTGATTCTGTCCACTTTAGGTGGATTTTCTTCAATATTTTCACGGATTCTTACTAATTGGAAATTACATTTTGAAGATAATGCTGACTTTTAAAGAAACTTCAATAATAAATTTAAGAATGATACTTAACACCCAGTGCAGATTTTTTTAATTTATAATAGCATAGGGGTAGGGATGTAAGTTTTGAAAGGTTTAAATTGAGTGCCACCACTTTAAACCTGGCAGTCTCTCTAGTTCAGTTGATCATTTATCCCCCCACCCCCCAAAAAAAAATATTTATTTCCCTGATGAGCGAATAAAACCGTATTAATTCTTGGCGATTTGCAAAAAAATCAACTGAGGAAAAAAAGGGGGAGAGAAGGGAGTAAGATTGTTCAAAAAAATATTCAACACCCCTGGCTATATTCTCACCTCTTCTCCTTCTTCTTCTTGAGTTGTTGCATCTTCTCTAAACCCTCCTGATTCCACTGAAGATACTGAAAATGCTGCCTCTCTCCACCAGATAATAGTCTCTCAACAATCTATTAGAAAACAAAGATAACGGACATGTTTCTTTTTTTGAAAATTGATTAGTTTCAATTGAGATTTCTCTATTATATTGACTTGTAGATTTCTGCTCATTGTCACAGTGCTTAAGATCCATTTAATTATGATATGGATCCGGGATTCGCACTGGAAAAAATGGATCCGGATCCGGATCAGGGTTTAGATCATGAACATTTCCCTAAGATTTACTGTAAAAAGTTTAAGAATTTTCAAATTACTTAATTTTCCCGTTTTTTTCCATGCTAAAACTCGGTGAACCATTCAGAGATGAGGAAATTTTTGACAATCTCTTTATTTAGCAGTTCAGATTTGAGTTTTGGGAGTTGATGATATTTGTTTGCAGTTTTTGATTGATATTTTGCCCTTGGATCCGGATCCGTGGTTCCGCATATTTTTGCGTATCCGGATCCAGAAAGCCAAAATGTTGCGGATCCAACAGATCCATGCCGAAGCAATAATTGTCAGAATTATAAACTTGTGCAGAATTTTCAAGTTTGTTGTCTTACTTTTTCGCTTATTTTTATGCTGAAACTTGATAAGCCATTCAAAAAACAGGAAATTTCTAATATCTCTCTTTTTAATAGTTCAGATTTGAGTTTTGAGTGTCATTTTTTTTTGCAGTTTTTAATCGATATTTTGTCCCGTGGTTCCGCATATTTTTGCGGATCCGGATCCAGGAAACCAAAATCTTGATCCTAAACAATGCTTCCAACAATATCAGACAAAGGTTTAAATAAATGCAATTTTATTTCCCTATTGAAATGTAGGGTCACATTAATCCAAGGTATCTTCTGGAATTACTCTAATACAGTGTACACCCACTACACCAAAAATGACACTTAAGACACCAAAATATGCCACAAAGTGAAGTCTTACACCTTCCACAAAATCCCACGATGCACTCCTGCTTTAAGTAATACAATGTACTTTATTATATTTATACCTGAGACCGAACCTTTAGTATGAGATATGACTTAAACCCGATTTCCACAGTGGAAACGATGATACCCAACACGACTTTTCAAAAAGAGGTGTCAAATTTAGTAAGAGATTCATCACGGTTATAAAGCAATTAACAATTGATAGAAATAACTTTAGACATAAAAAATCTAACCTGTGCATTCCCGTAAGGATTGAGACGATTCTCTATGGTCGGAACAGATAAAGGTTTAGTACTTCTCATACCAGCAATAGAACTACTAAGAGAAGAGATAGTATTCAGAAGTGGCGTAGTTTCATCTACCGCCGTATTCGGCTCCTGTTCAGTATGGGTCTCTCTCTCCACGAGGCGGACGGTGTCCATTCCGCTAAGATCGAAAATGGTGTCTCCAGGATGAACTAATCCTCGGGCAGGTATGTGTATAGGTGAGGAGGCAGGGGGCGGAGTTGATGAAAATCCAGGCGGAGGGTGGGTGGAAGGGGGTGGGGAATATACTCGAGGAAAGGGTGTGGCTTGCTCCACCCCACCAACCATTCTAGAAAAAAAACTGGAGTTAATGATTGAAATCTTTCTCTAGGACGGACTCGAAAAAGATGTAAAAGCTAGAATTATTAATATAAATTTGGCGCAAAGTGCCATTTAATCCTGAAAAAATAGGATCGTACCTTGTATCTTAACTGTAAGCTGCTCTTTAGAAAATGCTGCCACAGTCCATGTTGATAATAACAGCTGTTTGCTAGTTTACAACAGTTCAGATCATAAACACTTCCAATTTGACTCGAGTGAAGACTATATTGCTGTTTCTAGTTTAGGATTAATCTATATCATTGATAAACTTGCCGGATGCAAATATAGAGAAACCTACATGGAGTTTATCAAATCTGAAACAAAACTGTTTTGATCACATATATCCATCACACGACAAAAATTAATGATGTCATCGCATGAAAGGAATGTATGATGAAACGCCAGTTGACGAAACTATTGCCACGTGATCGCATTGATACCAGATAATTAGAAATCTTCTGTTAAAACTCTTGACAAAAAATAGACAATTTATGAGGAACAATATTTAACTAAATTGCGACTGTGAGAAATCTTGTACTTTATATGAATGAGTTGTTAAATATTATTAAACCGCTGATATAACTAAAATGAGCTGAATCATTAGTTTTCTTGTATTTGCCTCGTATGCCGCGGTACTAACTCCTCCCCCCCCCCCTCCTCTCATCCCGGCAGAAATCCACAAAACTTCTCACAAAATCCGCCAAAACTTTGACAATTAACAATCACTTTATATTCCGTAAAGAAACGTTTTTACGCTTGAACTTGATAATATTATCAAGTGTATTGCGCCTTTCTTTCACAATATACACTACACGCCCCTAGAAGCCCTCGTGGGGTAGGCGGGGACGGGTCAGGAATTTCTGGAAACTGTTGAAAAATCAGCTGATGAGAGGGAGGTGGCAACAATTATTCAGATCAAAATATCATTGGATAAAAATATCTTTTTTTTAAAATAAATATGAACAACCTATAAAAAAATGAAATTGAATTTTTGAAAAAAAATTATTCTTAAAGATTTAAAATTTTTTTTTTGCCACTTTACAAATAAAATTTCAAATAAAAGATTGTAAAAAGTACGACCATACCAAACTTTAATGATATTCGAATTTAGTAATATTTAAATCTTTTTATTGAAAATACCATTTTATTTTTACCATAAAAATAAATCCACCTGTTTTTTATTAATAGAATATCTAAAATGTCGTCTTCTTTTAATGATCCTGAAACCAAACCAAATATAAGAAAATTTATTCTGCAATCTCCAACGGTAAACACTTTTATGATGTTTCACATAGTTTTATTAAAAAAAGTTAAATTTACATAATACTTTTCAGAAAGCAAATGTAGCTATTTGTATCCTAATTTTCAAACTTTAATATAAAATGTGAAAATAAAGGATAAATAACTTTGCGAGAACTTTAAACTATGGAACAAGAGATTTTTAGTGTTACATTTTCTTGTGAAAATTAAGTTTAAAGATGGAGAGGAAAAAAGAAGGAACTAGTTCGCCGGCCGCGGATAAATTTGATATTCATTTTCAGGTTGGTGACTTATATTAATATTGCTTCATTAATTATAATATTAGTCGAAAGTAAATTTATGTTACTCATTATTAAAAGAGTGGTATGTTCTATTCACATGCTGCGGCCAGGACAGACCTTTAATTTCAACAATTTTCAACAAATTTAGTATATTTAGGGTTAGGTAAGGTTAAGACACTTTTTGGGCCGAGTGCTACGACTAGGACAGACTAGGGGGCAGAGCGCTGCGGCCACATGACTAACTTTCCATGAGTTACATATGAGATCCATTTACAAAATTGTTAGTGGTTGGGGGTGTCCAAGAATCGCATACTAGGTAATTACTTTAAGATATTCGAATTACGTTTTGTTTTTCAGGCGTTGTGTTCAGCTGTAGAACAGGAAAAGCTGGAGAAAGTTCGCTCCATTCTGGAGAATCAAACTCATGTTAATGTGAATGGAGTCAATGGAGACGGTTTCACTTTGCTCGATCTCGCGTTTATGACAGGAATTATATAATGTTCAAGTTAAAGAGACTTTTAGCGTCAAAATTTTCAAGATCACTGAAATTGTAATTTGTTTGTTTTTGTATGACATATATATTTTCGTGAAATAGGAAACCAGAGTCTTCTTAATCTTGTAGTTCATCATGGAGGGAAGGAGGGGGCGTTCTTCCCGTCCCCAGAGGTACCCCCCCCCCCCCTCACTTTAAAAAGCGTTTAAAAGTCCATAAAACAATCTTTTCGACGTTTTACATTTCAATAAGTATGAAAAATTTCAAATGTTAAACTTTCAGGTTAGTCAGTAGTCACTAGTCATGTCGAAACTTATAATGTTTTGGACTTTTGAAAAATGTCGTCTTTCATTTAAAAGTTTATTTTGTTCTTACCTAAAAAACTGCATATATTTGTGATCATCACGTTGTTGAAGGAACACGATAGATTCCTAAACAATTTCATCAATTTTCAATTTTTGAAGTTTCCCCTATTTTTTTTTCTTAAATTAGGATTCAGGAACTAACATTGCATGACTAAAGATATGTTTTTCAATACCTGTGCTATACTTGTTTTATGATGTTAAGTTAACCTAAATTAAAGAAAAATTTAAGCAAAAATGTCTGTTTCTACTTCTCATGAACCAAGGTTTAAAGGATATAGTTGTAAACATTTTTGCAAGCTCATTGAAGGTTTACAATAACTTTAAAGAAGTTGAATTATGTTACGCTGTTTCTGAACTTATTTTGCAGTTTTTTTTTAATCTTTGAAATAACTTTATTTACTTAATTGCTTACTTGAGTTTGTATTCTTTTATTTCTAGAATATTTCCTCAAACCGAAAAATCCGCTAAAAAAGCCTAAATTAATAAGTTTGTTTTCCTAGGCTGTATCTGCTCATTTATTGTCTCTAATTATGGAAAGCCGGAAGCAGGTTGAAAAGTTTAATCAGCTGGTGAAAATGACAACTGGAACGGGTCATCTTAATTCTACACTTAGTCAGGTAATTATCCCCCGCCCCTTCACCCCTCCCCCCCCATGCTTAGTGCTCTCACACTAGTGCTTAGGATCCAGATCTATGGGGCAAAATAATAACCAAAACTTAATTTGCAAGTATCATTTTCATCTGACAAGGATTTATTAAAATTTTCCTGATCTCTAAGGGGTAAATAATGCTTCAGTTTACAAATAAAAATCTGAATTTTTGTTCTGGAAAAAGCCGCCTTTTTATAGAAACCGTTACTGAAAATTGTTTTAACTTTTCCATAAAATATTCATGGAAAAACTCAACCTTAAATATTATCCTTAACTGGTTTTTTAACCCCATGGTGGTCATCTAGGTTGTTTCAAGCATTTCTGATCTATCTTTTTAGATAGGAAAATACAAAACAATCAATTTATTAGACCTAGGTTTAAATGGTACTGTGTTAATCAAAAATAAAATTACTTTAAAATTTAAATTTATTTAAGGTTCAACTGAAGGAAGGAGAAAAGCAATTAACTCTCTGGCAGAAACGGTTAACAACGATGAAGAAACTTAAAGCAGGATTTGATTCTGCAGGTAGGATAACTAGAAGCCAGAGAAAACCCTATTTTTATCTGCACTTTTTGCAATGATAGTTTTATATATTCACTAATATTTTTTATTTGCTTGTCTATTTGTTTGTTACTAAATCTATAAAAAGTTATTTATGATTTTTGAAAATCCATGAATTTAAACGGGAAAATCCGCAAAATTACTTGTTAATTGGAGCACCTTAAAAATGGTGACTTAAAAAGAAACAGTTGAAAGCAAAAAATGTTACTAGAAGAGAGGCAGGAAGTATTGATTGATCGATGGATTCTATATTTGCAAGGTTGTCCTCATGCCCCGGTAGAAGTACAAGCCAGTGTCACAGGCTCCAATTGTATAAACGTGAAGGTAAGTCAGGAAGTAAACAAAATTCAAACTTTGTAAACATGGTGTTTAAAATTTTATAGAATCATCGAAATTATCAATATTTTTGGTACTTATTAGTAATTAGCCACTAGTTTTATTCAGAAAAATAATCTTGAATAATTAATTTGTTGTTAATTGCAGGTGAAAGAGCCTGACAAGTTTGGAAACAGTTTGTTTACTAAATTCAAGATACAATGGAGCTTTACAGATTCTTTCACAGAGGTAGCAACATTCTAGGATTCATTATGTGATTAGTGGATGGCACATTTGATTGATTGATTGATTGATGTATGTTGCCGATGAGATCGAGGTGAAAATTATCCACACCTTGAAGTATAATACAGAGGGACTTATTTGATTGATTGATAGATTACTTGATTACTTGAGTACTTGAGTACTAGAGTTTTTGATTACTTCAGTACTTGATTACTTGAGTGATTGATTGATTGATTGATTGATTGATTGATTGATTGTAGGTGGCTGGTGAGGTGGAGGTTAAAACTATTCACACCCTGGAGTATAATATAGTGGGACTAGAGGAGGGTCGCAGATACTTTATACGAGCTTCATTTGGTAATCCTCGAGGATTTGGACCTTTCTCAGCCTCGAGGCCTCGATCCTTGGTCCCGTCCTCCTGGAGGAACGTGGATAATAAACCTCCGAGGATTAGGTAGGATAAAGAGACTGTAGACGATATTTCATGTTGCCTTTATATTTATAGAATGGCATGTTCGATTGACAACAAAACTACAAAGATGAATAATTATTTTGGGTGAAATTTCAATTGTGGTTTCTTCATGACTTGCGGCGCCTTAAGCTAAAGATACAAAGAAGGAAACTATAAGAATTAAACACTTTTTCTATTTTTCTCGGTTTAAAGTCAATCATTCATTTGTTCACACATTTCTATTCATTTGAATTTTAATAATATTTTATCAATAATTAGATGATAGTAGATTATTATATTATATTTATATCGGGTGTTCTCGCGTCTTGGGACACACTATTGACATTTCTATATTTCGTGTTCTCCACTTTTCTTCTTGGTCATGCATCTTCCATCATGTTCTGCTAATGATCTATCTATCTATCAAGTTCCCGGTGAATAATTCTTGATATTGTCACTTGGTTCGTGGAATATCATAATTATTACACAAAATGGGTGACAATAACAAGAAATATTCCGGATATGGCTACGTAGTAAATCCGATAAGAATGTGGTATAATAAATGATATTTTAAGAAATCTTCCTTTTTACACTTATTCTTTACTCATCTTCATTGTTTTTTTCTAAATTGTAAAGAATGGAATGAAAATATTAATCAAAATCATTTTAAACCTTTTTTTACTTTCTGAATTAAAAACATAAAAAATGATTTTTTACATCTAAAAATTTTCAAACTGTCTGCCATCTTTATTGATGCCGTCTTATAGTATGGAAGACGACTTGGATCAGTATGAAGACGGTAAAATGCGCAAGAAAGGATTACTCCAGCTGTTCCAGTCAGCCCCCAAGTTCGTCAAAGTTCCTAGGGTCGGGGTTTATCTTAATAGCATCATGTTTCACGAGGACAAGGTAATTACTGCTTTAAGTTAACTTGTTTTGTTCATGGATTTTTTGTTGATACTTTTTTGAAAAATGATTCTGAGTTCAAAATAAAATTGTGAAAGCGCAGTTATTAAACAATGATTTCACAAGTCCGACCTATACACCGTGTCCAGTTATCCATCTTTGTTTACAATTTTTGTGATTGTTTTAATAAAACTAGTTTCTAGCGTTTTTATAAGTCAAATGTAAATATATACAGGGTGAGTCAAAAAAAAGTGTGATTTGCGGCGCCTGTTGCAAAATTGTACCTTTTTTTGTGCAACTCTCCTGTATGGTGTCTTTTCAATATTTTTTGAAAATTTGTAACTTTTTTTTGGGTACTCCATTGGCCCAAAAGAAAATCCGCGAATCGAATATTATTTCTCTCTAAATCTAAAATTTTATTAAGATTGAATCACAGAATCACAGAAAATTGGCAAAATTGTAATAAGAAAATTCGCAATTTTCAGTTCTGGGCTAATTTTTAAGGAAAAGTTATTTAAATTATCTAGTTCCTTTCTTCTTAGTATATTCTAAAGTATTAAATATACGCTGTTCAGTTGAAACCTTGAGAACCATTGAAAAACAATTTTTCCGTAAAAATGATACTGAAAATGACGAATTTTCAAATTACAATTTTCTGAGATTCTGTTATTCAATCTTTTTAAAATTTTAGATTTCGATAGAAACAATTTATTAACACATTTTTGTTTTTCTGAACTTTTGATTTTGAAAGAAAAAAAGGTTCGCGGATTTTTTTGGGCCATTGAAGTACCAAAAAAAATACAAATTTTCAAAAAATATTAAAAAACACCATACAGAAAAGTTGCATAAAAAAGTTACACTTTTGCACCAGGCGCCGCAAATCACACTTTTTTTTGACTCACCCTGTATGTAAATCCTAAACCCTTTTGTTTGTATACTCACAATGTTCCTTGACATCTTCAGAATTATCAATAAACATGAATAATACAAACAAAAATATAAAATCCAGGCAGGGATATTTTACCAATGTGGTATAACCGTATAACTTAAGGTATCCGCGCATTTATTTCAACAAGAATTTGATATTTTCCCATTATCTTTTGATAATTTAATTTATTTCTTGCAAGGTTTTACTGACGAATGAGGATTCTCTTCCTCTTCTTGAAGTACAAGACGATGTGCCTAGTTCTGCCTCCCTGCAGGTATCATACAACATCAAGTGTACTGCATCATGTGTACTACATCAAGTGTACTACATCAAGTGTACTACATCAAGATTACTTCATCAAGTGTACTGCATCAAGTGTACTGCATCAAGTGTACTGCATCAAGTGTACTGCATCAAAAGTACTACATCAAGTGTACTACATCAAGTGTACTACATCAAGTTTACTACATAAGTGTACTGCATCAAGTGCACCACATTAAGTGTACTGCATGAAGTGTACTACATAAAGTTTACTACATCAAGTGTACTACATAAGTGTACTGCATCAAGTGTACTACATAAGTGTACTGCATCAAGTGTACTACATCAAGTGTACTACATCAAGTGTACTTAATCAAGTTTACTACATAAGTGTACTGCATCAAGTGCACCACATTAAGTGTACTGCATGAAGTGTACTACATTTACTACATCAAGTGTACTACATCAAGTTTACTACATCAAGTGTACTACATCAAGTTTACTACATCAAGTGTACTACATCAAGTTTACTACATCAAGTGTACTGCATCAAGTGTATTTCATCAAGTGTACTACATCAAGTGTACTACATCAAGTGTACTGCATCAAGTGTACTGCATAAAGTTTTCTTTTATGTTCTTCCCAGTAACTGCAGTACACTGAATATGTTAACTATGATGAAGGGAGTCTTAGTGTTTAATTGTAAATATGGCTTTAAGGTGTTGGAAAGGTTATTATTCCACGTATGATATATTTTGTTGCGTTCTTCACGTTCTTATCAGTACTTTTCGATATTTACATTATATATAATAGGTATAACAGAAAATATAAAATCTTTTAGAAGCCAAAAATTGGTTTTTATTTGACAAAAGTGAAAGATTTGTTGCATAACAGAACTTTTTACAATTTGAACTTTTTTCCAACTCTTTTTGGACTCCTTAAGAAGTTTCAGATGGACTATTTGTTTATCTGTTTATCTAATTGTTTTTTTTATTTATAGATATAATTTGTGCACATTAATAAAAAGTTAATTGGATCAGTTCAATAACAGACGTAACGTAACGTTTGAAGTTCGATCATTTTAATTTAAATAAATTAGTTGATTGATTGATTGATTGATTGATTGATTAATTGATTGATTAATTTAGGCTGATTTCTACTGGTTTATGAAGCTGGGATATATGTGGCCTGATATTGGTAAACTGCGTTCAGATCTCTCAAGAAGTGGAACAGAGACACTCAGATACAGACTTCTCTCAGCAGCGGTAACAATGCAGTCAGCACTAGGTCGGGACAGCTTTTAATATTTAAAATACAGGAGAACTTATTTTCTTCATCATTTCCACCCTTCCCCTTCAATTATATAACGTTGTTGACAGATTGTATAAAAATTAAAATCCATTTTATGTATTCTTTGATGAACTGATTCTATGTTTCATGAACCAATTTATGTTTAATGGACGGATTTTATCTTTGAACTGATTTTATGTTTGATTGACTGACTTTTTGTTTTATTGACTAATTTTATGTTTGATTGACTGATTTTATGTTTGATTGACTGACTTTTTGTTTAATTGACTAATTTTATGTTTGATTGTCTGATGTTTGATGGACTAATTTTATGTTTGATGTACTGATTTTATGTTTGATTGACTTATTTTACGTTTGATGTACTGATTATTTATTTTAATTTACTCTCTTATTTGTATAAGGGATGTTTGATATGATGTCAAAATGAAAATGATTGAATGAGCATTTTACTTTAAAATGTATCATCTTCATAAATTAATTGATTGATTGACAAATTGGTTTTAGGAACTGAGAATCTTGGCGTCCTGTTCTATAAACCTCTTCGGCATCCTAACGGTAGTGTCGTCTTTAGTCTGGTTCACCACGTTAAACTTCCTAAAAACCTGATTTCCCTCAGCCTCAAGTGGGCTCCATTGTCCAGGTTTGGAATTTCGTCATTTCATATTCTCATCATTCTCATCATTCTCATCAGTATCATTAGTATCATTAGTATCATCAGTATCATCAGTATCATCAGTATCATCAGTATCATCAGTATCATCAGTATCACAGTATCATCAGTATCATCAGTATCATCAGTATCATCAGTATCATCAGTATCAGTATCATCAGTATCATCAGTATCATCAGTATCATCAGTATCATTAGTATCATTAGTATCATTAGTATCATTAGTATCATTAGTATCATCAGTATCAACAGTATCAACAGTATCATCAGTATCAACAGTATCAACAGTATCATCAGTATCAACAGTATAAACAATATCATCAAAATCATAAATATTATCAATATCACCAATATCATCATAATCATCATCATCGTCATTATTATCATTATTATTAAGAGCGCAGAAGCATCTATCTGTTGAGGAGGAGGGTGGTATCTTAGATATGCTCCGATGTTCCCTCAGAGAACAGATTCTTTTCCATCAAGTTTCAAATATATCCATTTCGAAAGGTAAATAAAGAACTATCTAGGTCATGGGGATACCAGTATCAGTAGCATGTCATGCTAACTCTGTGATCCATCTACTCAAGGAGACATAATTGCACTTCCCCTCGGGGATAACAGTATCAGTAGCATGTCATGCTAACTCTGTGATCCATCTACTCAAGGAGACATAATTGCACTTCCCCTCGGGGATAACAGTATCAGTATCATGTCATGCTAACTCTGTGATCCATCTACTCAAGGAGACATAATTGCACTTCCCCTTGGGGATACCAGTATCAGTAGCATGTCATGCTAACTCTGTGATCCATCTACTCAAGGAGACATTATTGTGAGAGTGGTGGATAGTTGGTACTTAGGAGCACTAGTTATTGTAATCAGGAAGGGATAATAGATAATTATGATTGGACACACAAATAGACAAACAAACAGAAATTACTACTTTATATATATTTAGAAAGATGATAATCAATTTTGTGTTTTTGCTAGGTCTCCATCTGTGCTGCCTCGAACCCTATTCTACAATATTGTATTATGAGGTTTCCGTCTGTGCTGCCTCGAACCCTCTTCTACAATATTGCATTATCGGGTCTCCATCTGTGCTACCTCCAACCCTATTCTACAATATTGTATTATCGGGTCTCCATCTGTGCTACCTCCAACCCTATTCTACAATATTATATCATTAGGTCTCCATCTGTGCTACCTCGAACCCTATTCTACAATATTGTATTATGAGGTCTCCATCTGTGCTGCCTCGAACCCTATTCTACAATATTGTATTATGAGGTTTCCATCTGTGCTGCCTCGAACCCTATTCTACAATATTGTTGTATAAACCTAGGTCCGTGAGAACCCCCACGTGAACGCTGAGGAATGGGCCTGGATCAAGATGTTGGGGAACCAATCCTCAAGCTCTTCAACAGAATCAGAAATGCAGGTCAGTCACCTTTGTATCTACAGGAAACAGTCCCAATTTTATGTTTGTTTTTATTATCTTATATTTTATTTTCATTCCTGACATGACAAATTAATTGCTCATGGTGATTATCAAGATAAACATGATTTGTGATGATAATAGGTTACCTCAGGAGGGTTTGAGAGTTTTGAAGGGATATTTAGGAGAAATATTCAAATTTAATCCTTGCTGCTATAACTAGCTCAAGAAATCATTTCCTCAGAAATAAAATGTATTGTCTATTTTCATTGAATAATTTTGTTTAACTTTTATTATTTAGGCCACACCCACCACAAACTTTCTAATAGGGGAGGGTGAGGACGGTGCTGACACGCCCAGTCCGGTACTTCCACGCCCCCCAAAGCCCGATAAGGCGGTTCCGCCTAGTCCCTGTAGACCAACGGAGTCCCAGTACGCTTTTGGGAAACTCATTCAACATTCGGTAGTTCGACTCTTTCAGTATTTAGAGGTAAGCCGTCTTCACGGGACTGGAGACGTAATTTTGAATATTTCTTGGAATGTCCGATTTACAATGGTACCAAGTTAAAAACTAGCTGAATTAAGAATGCATAAGAAATAAACCATCTTTTCTGTTAAAAGTTGATAATTTTCAATTAATGTTCGTTCCCTATAATGTCACTTGCGCATTTCTGCTTCAGGAACAATATTTAGGATACTTTTAATTAAACAGTTTCTAATGAAAACGACGATATCTTTAATATTATTGATCATTGTGAATCTGCCATGTCCCTTTTCCTCCAGCACAGTGCAGTAAATGTGTCAAATATAATCCTGGTTTACTATACAGGTAGAGGAGAAGGAACGCGAGCATCATAGAATATACGATACAGAGATCTTACAATTAGGTAAATAATATTTTTACAGCTTGAATTTTTCTAGAATATTATTACATCTATTTATTGTGACTTTTTTACTTTTTTCATCTAGAAACGGGCATTTGATTAAATTCATTGGAAAGTTGTTTGATTTATTCTCATTATCTCGGGAGATTTTTAAATAAGTAACCAAAAGCTAAAATTATAACTTGAGAAAAAGATGATTCTAAAAGCCTAATTCTGAATTTTTCATTTACAAAAAAAAAATAATAAAAGTTAATTGATTTAATGGAGAAAGTTAAATATTTAAATCTAATTTTGTTTAACTTTAGGCCCAGATATCTCGGTAATCCTGGTGTTACCGCCGATAGAGACGGTTTGCTCTGTAACTGAGACCTGCATGGCGATTAATGTCTATCGGCGGGATCTTCTCCTGATTCCTCTACAAGCATGGGAACTCCTTCAGTTGTCAACTTACTATAGGAATTTATAAAGAAACTATTGATAATATTTGGTTTTTGTCTTTTGAATATATTTTGGCCTTTTCCACGTGTTTTAATTGAACATATTTGCCAGAAAAAAAATGTCAGCATCAAAAGTTTAAATTTAAAAATTTGTCTCGATGCAATGAAAGAATGCGCAGAACTCAAATTATTTTTTGGAAATGGTGATTAATAATATCATTCAATATGGCGTCGTTTATTTATAAACTTTCAGGAAACTACTTTCTTTGCATGCAAAGCTAAGTTCTATCCTTGAAGTTGACCTCCAGCTGGCTAGGAAGCAGCAGAGAGAGGCCATCAGCAATCACGAGTCTGAAGCTGCCGGTCACAATGTCGGGACCTTATTGGACTACTACCAGGCCCTAGAGGACTGCTGGACGGGGGTTCGCTGGATCAGAGAGGTTCTCTCCGTGAGTCGACTCAAGACAACGCAGTGCGGGATCAGTGTTCACCACCTGACAGAATGGTATCTTAACCAACCCGAAACACCGGATGATTCCCAATATGTTCCAGGCGGGGAGATATCGGTTCTCCAAATAAAATCCGCAAATTTATTTAAAATGGACACGATGAGGAATTGGAACTCCCGAGGACGGGACAGTGCGGCAAGCGATAGTGGCACACTGCAGAGTAGGCAGGGGCTAAGCAGGACACCAACAACAAGATCAGATCCACAAGAATTCGGCATGATGGACATGGATAAGGACGGGGCCAACCTGACCAATCTTGCTCATGTAAGATCTAGACTTCTGGCCGATGGTCCACATCTCCTTAACCCCCCGGTCTCTTACATTAGTAAAACTTATTCAAACTCCACCAATTCAATCGATTCCAATGAGAATGAATATGCCAGTAATCCGCGAAACAATTTCCCGCCAGAATCAAACATCCTCCAGGTTTATGCCGCGTACGATACCGGTCTTGCGCACGGTACAAGTGTACGAATCAAGGTATCTATATCAACGACGGCCCGAGAGGTCGTTGACCTTGTCATCAAACAACTCAACATGGCCGTTATACTCAAGGGCAAAGATAGTCCAATTTATGAAAACGAAAAGCTGGGAAGTTTTTGTCTAGTTGCGGTTATAGGAAGTCGAGAGCGGTGTCTCCGAGACGATTTTAAGCCGCTAAACCTTCAAAACCCCTGGAAAAAAGGAAGGCTGTTTGTGAGGATGAAACATGATCTTCTGGCTGCCATAGAGCATCTATCCAAACATACAACGCTAATCTAACCTCTAAACTGACCGGCCCCAGGAGCCTCATTATCCGTTTAATCACATTGATTATTCACAAAATCTAATTAATAATTAAATTGTACAAAAGGCTGAATTAAAAGTACAAATGCTTGTCACACAAAGAGTAAAATGCATACTCCTATATGTATACTGCTGGTAAAATGCAAGCCTAAACTTTGTACCTTCTTCTTATTTACAATCCGTCCTTTAACATTCCTTCATTCAATTGTCTTATGATTGGGGAGTTTGCTCCTTTTTTAACGTAAATATATTTATTTGCAAACGGGGTAAACCTAAGAAAGACTTACCCAAGTTTTACAAAATTTTACAATAACGAAATAAAAAATGGCCACACACCCCCCCCCCCGTTCAAATTTCTTTGTGAAATGTAAACTGTATTGTTTGACCAAATAAAATTAAGTAATTTAAACTACAAATATCAAATATTAGAAATATTTTTTGGCTTGGACAATTTTACACACTCTTTTTTGACCAGTTTAAACCCAGTTTTTGTGTCGTCTTCCGTCTACCGTCTACCAAAATAATATAAAAATATAAAAATAGCATTTAAAGTTTTGTTATATATGTATGATCTAGTTTTTATTTATGTTATCTTTCCTAAATGACACAACCATGTAACCAAATTAAATTTTGAGAACTGATACAGTGGGTTTCATCAAATTTGAGACGTGATTGAAACTTAAACTGACATTTAATTTACTTAAAAACTGCAGAATATCATGGCTTTATGTTGTTGAGACCCTTTGTTTCATTATAAAATATATTTTTAAGAATATATATTTAATATATAAATATATTTACAGAACTATGGCATCACGACCTACTCTGGCACTGAGTAGAAAAAGTCCGCTAAAATCTAAAAAGTCCTTGAAGAAAGGGTCCGGGAAGCAGCCCTGGGTGGAGACAATTAACGATCTGGATATATATAAACCTAGCAAGGAGGTTCTAGAAGCAAAGAAGATCCAAAGAAAATCTCATAATAAAACTTTAGCAAAAGTAAGACATTTTTATTTATCATATAATTATGTAAAAGAATTGAAAGCGTAATTTCAACTGACTCTCCATTTAAAGACAATGATACCCGATTTACAACGTTACCCTTTCAACCTTAATCTGATAAAAATATGAAAAGTGTTTAATTCTGATAATTTCACTATTGCTTCTTATAAGCAAGAAATGCACACGTCACTTTAGCAGAGAAACCGCAGACTACAATAAAAAGTTTAAAGAACCAAAAACATATCTTATTCATACTTGATCAGACAAATCTTTGTCCACTTGAAATTACACAACACTAGAATTGTTTTTCCGGATAGAAAAATGTCATGTCATGCTTTCACTTGTTTGTAAATTGAAATACCTTATCTCCTACAATAAATCTAAAGTCAGAATTTTTGTGTTAATCCCATATCTTGGGTAACCTTAATTCATGGATCAAGCATTTTCCCTTAAAATTTTAAATTAAAAGTGCCCAATTTAGAAGTCGAGATCTAGAATTCAAGATTAAGGATACACTCAAAAGTTCCGAACTTAGATCGTTTAAATTTTTTCAATTGTTACTTTTTTAACAGTTTTTGTTTAGATATCTTTAACAGATAAACGGTTTCAACAAGATCCCTCCCGTCAACGACTCATCCAACAACAAGTTATGCTTTCTTTCCAAACACAACCAATACAGGTCAAATATACAGATATTTGGATACTAGAGAACTTAGTTTAGAGGATATTTGGATATCAGAGAACTTAGTTTAGAGGATATCTGGATATCAGAGAACTTAGTTTAGAGGATATCTGGATATCAGAAAGCTTAGTTTAGAGGATATTTGGATATCTCAGAGAACTTAGTTAAGAGGATATCTGGATATCAGAGAACTTAGTTTAAAGGATATCTGGATATAAGAGAACTTAGTTTAGAGGATATCTGGATATCAGAAAACTTGTTTAGAGGATATCTGCATAACAGAGAACTTATTTTAGAGGATATCTGGATATCAGAGAACTTAGTTTAGAGGATAACTGGATATCAGAGAACTTAGTTTAGAGGATATCTGGATATCAGAGAACTTAGTTTAGAGGAAATTTGGATATCTCAGAGAACTTAGTTAAGCGGATATCTGGATATCAGAGAACTTAGTTTAAAGGATATCTGGATATCAGAGAACTTAGTTTAGAGGATATCTATATATCAGAGAACTTAGTTTAGAGGATATTTGGATAACAGAACTAATTTTAGAGGATATCTGGATATCAGAGAACTTAATTTAGAGGATATCTGGATATCAGAGAACTTAGTTTAGAAGATATTTGGATATCAGAGAACTTAGTTTAGAGGATATTTGGATATCAGAGACCTTAGTTTAGAGGATATCTGGATATCAGAGACCTTAGTTTAGAGGATATCTGGATATCAGAGACCTTAGTTTAAAGGATATTTGACAGAGCATTAAAAAATATTTTTAAATATAAATTCAGAGAAATGTAGTAGGATTATGGAACTAAAAGCATTGTTTTCTTTTTCAACATTGAAATAAACGGACTGTTCCCTTTATTAAGTAATAATTGGAATCTAAGGGATTGTTCGTAATTTAAATTATAATTTAGAATGTTGAGGCAATCCTTGCCAGAAGTGAACAAGTTATGGGAATATGTCAAGGTAATTTCCTAGTTTTATTTTTAGAAATGGTTTCTGAAAGTATTGAAAAAATTGAGTTATTTACAAGCTAGTCATTTATTTTGTAACATATCATACCATGAACGGGGGGCGCTTTAGGTAAAATACATACTCTTGAGTCTTTATTTGATAATTCTATACCTTTAAAAGTCATCTTTATTCTTTTCTAGGCATTATAAATGGTGGTGTGATAACTCCTACTCCTACGAGCACCGTAGAGAGGCTGCAGCCCCTGGGGAAGGAGTTGAACGAGGAGGTTGAAGAGGAGGACGGGGAGGAGGATCAGGAGGGTGGAGGAGGGGTCCACCAACCCCCTACACCACCTCAATACATGAACTCTGCTGCTCTTAGTGAGATAGCTGGAGAGCTGCTAGTCACAGTTAGAGAGCTTCGAGAGGAGCTTCTTCAGGTAGAATTATGGATGCTCCCTACCCCACCCATCTTATGTTCCCTGATTTTGGTGTTATTTTTAAGTGTTTCAGTATTTTCATGCAAATGAATGTAAGGAATTTTACAAGATAGGTTCATTTATAAAATGTCAGTAGATACTATTCTTGTCTGAAAAAAATCTTTTTAAATTTTAAGGCATTTTCATTTTTTTAATTGTGTAAGTAGGGTACATGGTTTGTTATCCTTACCCTACTCTTATCCTTGAGGGGGAATGCTCGTGTGAAGAAAATATATGACACCTTGCACTTAGCTTTGGGACATACGTAGCTTGGTTGGTTTTTGGACTTCAAGACACCACACACAAATACATTTTGGACTTCAAGACACTACACAAATACATTTTGGACTTCAAGACACCACACACAAATACATTTTGGACTTCAAGACACCACACACAAATACATTTTGGACTTCAAGACACCATCGACTTCAAGACACCACACACAAATACATTTTGGATTTCAAGACACCACACACAAATACATTTTGGACTTCAAGACACCACACACAAATACATTTTGGACTTCAAGACACCACACACAAATACATTTTGGACTTCAAGACACCACACAAATACATTCTCGACTTCAAGACACCACACACAAATACATTTTGGATTTCAAGACACCACACACAAATACATTTTGGACTTCAAGACACCACACACAAATACATTTTGGACTTCAAGACACCACACGCAAATACATTTTGGACTTCAAGACACCACACAAATACATTTTGGACTTCAAGACACCACACAAATACATTTTTGTACGGATTGTTTTTCGAAAATTGTACGGATTGTACGGATTTCTTCTGAAAATGTACGGATTTTTGTACGGATGTGTTCAAAAAAGTTTTGGCCACCCTGTCTATTGTTAAACCAAATATTTAGATAAAACAATTTTGAAATTTGTAGAACTACTCAGATTTATGTGGAACCTCTTAAAATTCCAGAAATAAAAATATAATAAAAAGACGTGTCCCATTTGTACTTGCACTCTGTATTTTCCATATTTAATGATAAGGAACAGAGGCTAGGTAAGTTTGAAAATGAAGCAATTTTTTAGTTTTTATCATTTAGGAAAGAGAGGCTAGAGAAAGGCTCGAAAATGAAGTCTTACAACAGAGGGAATTACTGGTAGAACTTTGCAGGTACATAGCATATCCAAGTTAAGTTTTAAAACAGGGGAAAATAGTCCCCCCCCCCATCCTTCCCATCGATAACTTAAAGGTTATGTATCTTTTTGTTGATCTACGAACCTTTGAGATTCGCCTGATCAAGGCATAGCGGCCACACCCCTATTCCCCAAACCTTTGGAATTTCTGGTTCTAATCCGGGATCTCATGTAATTTTATCTGTAATAGGCAGGACTTGAAAATCTACTTAATATCCTTTTTTTGATAGGGATGAAATTGGATGTTAAATATATCTCAAATAAAAGGATGTTTACATTATCTTACAAAGTATTAAAGGAATTTTTCCTGGTGGTTCTGTTGGTTAATAACTAATAATAGTCCTTAACAAAGAATACTTGACAATGAGCAATCTTAGCTCAATACCTTTAATGATTTCGATTTTACTGTTTTATATAAAAAATTGAGGGAAAATGACTAAAAACAATGCAGAATTTTATTATTATTGTTAATATATATATAATATAATTGTCAACTATTACTGAAAGATCTAACAACCCTTTTATGGTATAAACATGTCATGGTTACATCACGATATTCTTATTTTGTAAATTTAGTTAACATTACACACTCGTTTACATAAAAATTATATACATAGATTGATTGGTAATAATGTTTTGTTCTTTTGTAGGGAAGTTGTGAGACTACAGATACATTGTGCAACAGATAGCTTACAGCAGACAAGAATAGTTTAACAGCCACCTCACAAGCAGTTTATGTAGTCACAGCTGTATCCTTTAAGACAATTGATTATTGTTTTATTTTTTCTCCATTCGATCTTTTTAAAACGGCGATCCTTTGTACTGTCCTGATTTGTTAGTTTGAGTGAACAGTGTAGTTGTACACTGTACAGTGTACACAGTAGTACATCAGTACTCTGATCAAACGTTCTGTACATTGTACAATCCTTCCTAGCTATATTGGGTTTATTTGGCAGCACAGTACACAACCTTCTTGTACCGTCCTACCTAGCTAGTTCATGTTGATACGGCAGTACAGTACTCTGGGCAGTGGGCAACCTTCTTGTACCGTCCTGCCTAGCTGGATTGGGTTCATATGGCAGTATTGTACACTGGGTAACCTTCTTGTACCTTCCTGTCTAGCTAGATTAAGTTCATATGGCAGTATAGTACACTGGGTAACCTTCTTGTACCTTCCTGTCTAGCTAGATTGAGTTCATATGGCAGTATAGTACACTGGGTAACCTTCTTGTACCTTCCTGTCTAGCTAGATTGAGTTCATATGGCAGTATAGTACACTGGGTAACCTTCTTGTACCTTCCTGTCTAGCTAGATTGAGTTCATATGGCAGTATAGTACACTGGGTAACCTTCTTGTACCTTCCTGTCTAGCTAGATTGAGTTCATATGGCAGTATAGT